CTAAATTTTCTTGATAGGTAGTGTTTAGTAGAGTGATTATATGTTACAAATTTGTCAACAATATTATTTTTTTTCTTAATGACTATTGGTGAGTGTTTTTTTTTTTTTTTTGAATATAATTTGAAAAATATTGTTTATATAACTTATTTTTGTTTTCTTTTAATTTAGATTTTACGTTTGAAAGATGAAGTGATTATGACATATAATGTGGAACTTGAACTCTTAGTTTAGGGACCTGACAAAAGAATGATCAAATATACAAGTTACCTTATTAACGATTGGAAATTTTTCACTCAAAAGCATGATATGAAGTTGAAAACACAAAATAGTGGAGCATATTTAAAAGGAGATGAAGGCATTGATTATTATGGGGTATTAAGTGAAATTATTGAACTAGATTATAAAGGACATAGTGTGGTTCTTTTTAAGAGTGATTGGTGGGATGTATTTAATTAAGGAAGGAAAAAAGGACGCAAAGAAGACCAATATGTGTTTATACTAGTAAATATTACACATAAATTTCAAACTAATGAACTTTTTATATTGGCTACTCAAGCTGAACAGGTATACTATGTGCCAAATACAAAAGATTCAAATTGGCATATTGTGATCAAGACAAAACCTCATGATTTTTATGGTTTTCCTCCTTATGAAGATGTAATTGAGTCGTATAATGAAAATGAGAAGATCGAACATACACAACAAGATGTCTTGGTGTGTCCTAATGATGTGGTTTTGAATTGATTAGAATAGAAAATGTTGATGTTGAACAAGGGCCAATAAATTTTGACCAGCTGATAGAAGATGAAAATGTAGAAGATGAAACTGACTATGAGGATGATCTTATTTTCAAAAAAGAAGAAAGGGGGCCTATACCAAAAGATATAGATGATGATGATTTATGATCATTTGCTTTGATTTTTAGTTTAATGTTTTGGGACAATATTTTGGAATCTATTATTAAAGTTATGTAAAATTATTTTATTACGATATTATCATTTCATTTAATTTAATTTTAGTGGTTCAGTTTTTTTTTTTTTCTCTCTCTTTATAACATGAAGTTCATTTATGATGTTTGTAGCATTAGTGTTAATAAAATAAAGTATATGAAACATATAATGATGACATGAATTTTTACACAAAATTTTTTAAAAATTTTATATAGTTTTCATAATGATATACGCACATGTATTTTTCATTTTTTATGATCTTGTAGTTTGTGCTAAAAGAAAACTTCAATGAAAAAAATGAAAATTATAAGAATTTAATTGCTAAATCTAAAAAGGTTGAGAGATGAAATAGAAAACTTTAAATATGACATTAGGGGCCTATTTGAATGAATTTAAAATTTGAGGATTAAAATTTAAAATATTATTGGGGGAGTAAAATTGATACTTTACAATTAAAGAAATTAATCAAATTGTATTAAATCTTTTATTGTAAATTAAATTTTTTTTTTTTTTGAGAAATGTTAATTTTATGATGCTGATTTTTATCTACACTTAATTATGAGTTTTCTATATCTCACAAATTATGGATTATTAGTTTAAAAAAAAAACCATTCATTTTGGTAATACTTAAGTGTTTTTGTTACCAAATTTATAAATGATGGAACTCGTTTATTTGTGGCAATTTTTCTGTTAGTTACAAATATTTACTCAATTTATAGTGACTAATATTGTTATAACTAATTTATTTATTTTTAAAGTTCAATTGTGGATTAATTGTGATAAAAAATTTTGTAACCTGCATATAGTCAAAAAATATATTTGTTACAAATCATTATTTTAGTCACAAGAAAAAAAATAGTATTTGTGTTTTGTGACATAAATTTATCATTTGTAACTAATATTTTTAAAGTAACTAATAGTTAATTTATTTGTAATGATTTTAACTGTCACAAATTTAAGTAGTTTATTGTGACAAATTTTTAGTGATTAAATATAATTTTTGTATCCAAATTATATATTATATTATTAAAAATTAGTATTA